GTTCACATCGTATGGCAATGTCGGTGTGGGCGTTGGCTCCAGGAGGCTCAGCCCCATCCACCCTCGTCTGTCAAAAACATTGGCTCCAATAGCAGCAGCTAAATAGGTATATATATATAGACAAAATCAAACCTGAAAAAAAAAAGGAAGTTCAGGTGGCATCCCCAACAGCATGCGGTGCTCTTATTTGTGCTCGCACCACCCCGCAGCCCTCGCAGAACCTGGTGGAACTATGGTGAAGTCCTGGTGGAACCCTCGTGGAACCCTTCTGGAACCCTCGTAAAACCTTACCTCAGGGCCGCCCCGGACCACCCCGGAGCCCATCTAGGCTGAGACCCCAAAGCTGAAAGCTGTTGGGGAAAAAAACGCCTGCTGCTTATGTAGAGGAAGTCAGGTCATTTTAGATGGATGTTACCAGAAGCCAGCTCACTTTACAATGTTCAGATGATTCATTAAGCCTTTGCCAACCATTTGAATAGTATTTGGTTCTATTTTCTTCCTCCTTTAGATTCTTGTTCAAGCATTTCATATATCTTCTGGAATATTTCAACACAAGTTAGTTTGAACATGGCATCAGAAGCAAAGTTAGGCACAGTCTGAAATCAAAGTTAGGTAAGGCGTCATTATACACAGTCTAAGCCATAATATGTCACACATACATCTCTGAAGCTTTTTGATACGTCAAGCAATAATAGAACATATGATTTCACAGAAAACGTGATGTTATCTCACGTTTTACTGCTAAAATGTGCTCCGTATCAGTTTTGCTTAATCCTAGGCTTCATCACTAATGTTATCCTCGCCCAACTCACTGTAAAACATCCCTGTGAGAGTACCGGCACGAGGGTACCAACAACAAAGCAAAGAATGCCTCTTCTGCTTCGCGTCTCAATTGGTGTGCAAATCCTCTTTGTCTGTCAACTTGCAAACCTGTGCCACTACCTGCTGCGCACCTTCCATCTCTCATCTCAACTCACCTGCAGATCCCCTTCGTCTGTCAGCTCACAAACCTTGGCCAATGCCAAAAACACGTCTGCTTAACCAAATGCCACGCTGTCTGCCAAAACAACTAACTTCCCTCTACGAAATCTGTGCTGCAGAAAGCCCACTAAGACGCCAACACACCGGTATTCAGTGTTTTCCACTGTCCGCAGGGTGGGCGTGGACTTCTTTAAATCATGTACTAAAAAATAATTGTCTCATGTCCATATGCTGAACAATCAACTGCATTTACCGCAAACAATTCCAAAATACTAAGAAGGTGCACAACCAAACAGGAATGACTGAAAGCAGACGCTGTTCGGCGCTTTAAAGCGCTTTCGGATCTAAGATTCTCAGGGCTATGGCTCTTGAATCAGTATGGGGCCCCCAAAACGCTTTCAAGCGCTTTCATCCAGGTTCGTGGATTCAAGATTCAAGAAGAGTCCTGGAATAGGGGCCCCAATCTGGAACCAACGAGAATAAAAACGCTTTAAAGCGCTGTAAAGCGTTTTAGGGGCCCCAGATCAGAGTCCGGGGAATCTTGAATCTTGAATCCAAAAGTGGTTTAAAGCGCTTTAAAGGGTTCTAGGTGGATAGAGGTGCAGTCAGATGTGCACATGCAGGGATAGTTAGATGGTCAAAATTGGGGGGGTGCCTGAAAAGGGGCTGGAAATCACCCAAAAGTACTGTAAACACCGTCAAATTCTCTTGGGGCTCCAAAGTGATGGACTTTGACAAAAAGCCACTATTCACTCCTAGCAGATTTTGCCGGCTTGTGTTGCTCTTGCCTCCTTCTCTCGGCCCCTTGGCTCCACAAACCCTCTGCGGCCGTGGCACCATACTGGAGAGTGGGCGGCTGCGTCTCTGGTGCTATCTCTTTCGGCTGCAGTCGCTGCAGCCGCGAGCCAAGCCTGCGGGATACTTGTGCTCGCTTGACGTTGCCTTTCCAGCTCAGCTTGACCAGATACGCCATACGTCTGAAATGTGCTTTTGGCTTTGGCCAGTGGCAACAGAAAATGCAAAATAATTTCCAAAGCTGAAAGAAGTGTACAGCCTCGCCCAGCCTTTACAAGCCGGAAAAAATATGCGCGCATGCTTCACCAAACTAGCCCAAATACTGCAACCCTGGGTTCTTTGGCAACCAACTGTGCTGCTTGCATCCAGGGAGCTCTGACACGAGTGAGCAGTGCCGCAACTCCAAGTCAAGTTGCATCCGCTTGCCTCTGCATTTGTGGACTTGCCGAATCGTGTCAAAGCTCTGCAACAAAGCAGCTTCGGCAGAAAATGCAAGCCGGGTCTGGATGAGCCAAACGACTAATCAACGTCCTCAATGCATGTCCTAACACAAAAACAAGATATGTGTTCACAAAGTATCAAGACCAAAACCCATGCAACACTTCTCGCAATGCAATGATGCGGTGCCCTTTGGAGCAAGTAACCTATGGGCAGTCAGTTGGCGGTCCAGAAACCCTACCCTGCACGAGCAGCACCCGTCCACCCCACTGGTTGTCACTGTTGATTGAGCCCCTTAGGGAACTGCGGTGATCTGTCCAACGCCATTGCTTCAAGACAAAATAACCTATCCATGTTGGGCCAGTGTTGCATGGGGTGCTTGCATCCAGGCAGCGTTCTGATCGTAACTGCTCTTCCAGCCATGCGGCCAGCGGGGCCTGGTAGGGGCTGAGGCTGACAAAAGGCCGCCAGGCATTGCTCCATCAACAATCTGAGCCCATCACAGAAGCCTTTATCACAGTGCATCAAGTTCACACCAACGAGGGACCTGCCTTGGACGACCCTGCTTTTGAGAAATCAGGTCCAGCACACGTCGAAATCATGGAACTCAAACAAATGAATAGTCTGGCCATAGGCATCTGCTGGCTGCTTGCACCACAGCACTGTTGACATGTGCCAGCACATCAGAACTGGAACTACAAACAAGGTTCAAGAACAAATTATTCAAGTGTTGCAAGTGAAGCTTTGAAATGTCAAAGTGCGACTGCCTTCTGACAGCCCTCTCAACACATAACAAAGGCACCCGAAAGGGGCAACTGGCTGTTTGATCGGCGTCAAGCTTTGACTCGGGGGATTGGTGCTTTTTGATTGCGCATGAGTCGTCAAATGAGATGGGACTTTGAACTGCAGGGTCCGAGAATGACAATCTTTGAACTACAAATGATTTCGCGCCAAACAACGCCTCAACGAGCTGTCGAAAAACTGAAGGGATCAACCGCAAGCCAATTAACCAAAGGGCCAAAATGAAAGAGCCAGAGCTGTCCATGGGCTCAAGGGCTGCAAAGGGAGTTGCGACTGAGCTCGAAGAGTCTTGGTTGCCAACTCTCTAAGGAATTCGGAGAGACCGCGGGGACATGTGAGCGGTGTGGCGGCCGACAGCAACTTTACAGCCCGCCTGCTCCGAGTTCTTCGGGCTGGCAGGGGAAATCCTTGCATACCAGGACAAAAAGGATTGGCAAAGACAGAAACAAATCAGAATGTGCAGAACAACTGCACCGCTGTGACCCAGAACCACACACGAACAAACGAACAAACAAACAAACAAACAAACAAACAAACAAACAAACACGCACGCACGCACGCACGCACGCATGCACGCACGCACGCACGCACGCACGCACGCATGCATGCAGCATTGTGACAGGCCGTCATACATCCAAAAGAAACAAGGATTTCTTCAGGCCCCAAGCCATCTCATTGCATTGCAGCCTGGTGGAACATGTGTTTCTTTCCTTGGAGGTGGAACCGAGTCACGGGCATTGCTGGGCCCCTTGAATTCTACGGGCGCAGACTGGGGGTCTGCCAAGAGCAGCATCACTCTGAGGTACGCACGGTACTTGCCAACAATCCAATTTCCAAATGAAAGTGGTGGTTTGGGAGAAGGTTTGGCAAAGGCCTTGGCACCGACCAAGCCAGCTCCCAACGCCCCGCTTGCAGCCAAGCCACTCTCCGCTGAAGCCTCGCTTTGGGCTCATCCCACTAGCACGCCTCACGCATGAGAGGGCTGGCTCTGAACTCAACGACAGGCATGCCAGCTGCAGATGCGCCCAAATATGTTTCCTCCACCCCACAAGCGGCACGCACTGCAAAACAAGCTTCACAAGACCTCCTTGGCGTCCGCTGTCCCGCCTGCAAGCTTCACCAGCGCAATCCTCTAAGGGCTGGCCGGCTAGCTGCACTACTCCCTAGGCTGGCTCCTGTTGACTCTATTGTTTTAGCTGTCCATTGCCTCTCTCCAGCAGAAGGCGCACCCAAGGATCAGACTGGAAATGGCGGCAGCCAAGCGAGGACCATCACGAACATTGCAAGAGAGGTGCATGCTCTCAAGGCTCACACGTTCGACAAAACATGCCAGGACAACGGCCTGCCAAAACTCCATGGGCTGATGCATAATTCTAGCTGAAGGATAGGCTTCCTACAATGGTGGAAGCTGGCGCTTGACGTGCTCCTCCTGTACTTTTTACCATCAACCCGTGCAACTCAACATGATGCAGCCCTGCCCAGCGTTCTGCACAAGCCGCAAGCCAAGCACACTGCCCCCAGCACCGACAACTTCCCTGCCAGGCACCCCGGCGCAGTTGAAGTAGGCCTGCCAAATGGCCGCGTTGTTGGCCTCCTTCATGCAGGGAAAGACCTGCGCACCACCCCGCCGCGTGGTCTCACACGAGTTCGAGCCAAGCCCCTATCCTGCACCTCGCGGCAAGAACAAGGCCAATCGCAAGGCAGAGCTTATGGCCATTCTACTTGCTTTCCTCTGCCAGCCCGTGCCTCGACCTGCCCCTGGCAGTGAAACTTCAGCTTCCGCAGGGCGTTGAGCACCATGCGCCTCAGTGGGACAGGCAGCACGCCGTGCCAGCGTTTTCTGTGCGCCACAAGTATCAGAATAGCAAATGGCTTGGGCTGCCAGTCGGGCTTGCAGGCGCCAGCGCTGCCTTTTCTGGCCACAGCTCGCCGCGCGTTCATGTTTCAGGCACGCTTGCTCGGCAGCAGCCCGCGGGTCCCATGCGCTAGTGCCACCTGAGCCATCTCAGCTGTGCGAGAGCCGCACGTCACATACGACTACCCCGTTTACAATTCCGCACCTTGGCCACGTAAAATCCAAGCGTCGCATTTAACCCTACCCATTTTTCTGCTTAAGGTTCAGTGTGGGAGTTTAGGTTTAAGGTTTTCAGGGTTCAGGGTTCGGGTTGAAAGGCTTTAGGTTTAGGGTCTCCAAGCCACTGGCCTCTAAACCGCTGACCCTGCGCAAGGCCAGAACAATTCCACATCACATTTGACCCTACCCTGGCGTTGGTAGGGTCATAGCCGACAAAGATTGAGGTAGGGTCAAATGCAAGCATTCTGCCCATATCAGCTTCCTGTTCAACCAACATCTGCCACATCCACCTACTGAACTCTCTATGAACTCACCACTTACAGGACTGAACCGTTCTGTCACCCAAACGACAATGGTCACGTGCCAATCAATGCCGTCAAAGGCGCGGCAACCGTAACAAAGAATCCTGCGGCAGCAATACAAGAATGGATCCATGTGCCCCATGTTGAAGTCAAACCACACTGCAGTGCAATCGCGTTTCACCACCCACCCCGCTCGCTAGGAACTAAGCTGAATCCTGGATTCAACGTCACGACCCGCAACAAAATTGATTCTCTGCCGTCATGAAGAAACAAGAGCTGCGCAGTCACCAAGCACGACATAGGTTCCAATCCGATCGGATTCGTATTAGTGCGTTTTCTGCTTGCATGTGCCCATCCTTTGTGCATAGCGGGTCCAAAGGATTGCAAGGTTTCCTGTAGATGCATGATGCTCAGCTAGCCCCGCTAAGCCATACGAAGCCGCTGCCCTACTTCCCTCACGAGCGCACAGGCTATTAAGCCCAGCCTTGGGCAGTCCCTCTTTGCCTTTGCCAAACATGCATCCGAAATACTGGAACCCTGGGACAAGTGTAGGGCCGGCACGTGTCAATATGCCGGAAGGCGACAGCCCTGCGTGCCTGCACGTGCGTACCGCAGCTGCAGGTGTCCGTGATGGAGAAGTATCGAAAGCGCTTGGAAACGCTCCTCACGCGTGGCCAGAAGCTGAGCAAATGCTGGTGGAAGCTGCCACCCAGAAAGAGGCACAACAGCACTGTGTTGGTTTAGAGCTCTGGCCAGTCGCAGGATGTGCAGTAAAGCTGGCGCAAAATGAATGTGCAGCTGCTTTGCGTCGAAAAGCAGTTTTGAAAATATATAATTCCTATATAAATATGAGGCCGCGCAAGCGTGCCTGGTCTGCAGCTGCGGGTCGGCCGGGTGAGAATGTCCAAATTCCTCGAAAAAGTCTGTCCAATTGCGGACTCACAAGCCGAGCACTATCCATAACCATAAGTTGCTCTGCTAGGATGGCGGCCCTGCCTGGGTCAGCATACAGGTGCATACATCGTATATGAACAAATGATAATGCGTCCACATCCGTGGGCAAATCAAGGCCCCCCCTCCCTCCCCCAGGCCCCGAAACGCTAGTCATCTCTTCCAGACGGGCCCCCGGGCGCAGCTTCCGCGCTGCCAGGCGCCGCGCGTAGTTCAAGTGGCCAGCTTCTGGCGAAGCGGCCGCAACGGCGGCCGCCGAGGGCAGGTCCCCGGCCGGCGCAGGCAGAGCATAGCGCCAGCGCGAAGCCTCGGAGGGCGTCAGCTGCCCTTCGGCGCAAATGCCAAGACTTTGCGCATGGCCGCCATGGCCGTCGTCTTCTCATCTTGAGAGACATTCACACCGAAAACTTGAGGGAATGCAGCTTGGCCACGCGGCTGCAGGCGGCCACAACTGCGCTGTGAGTGATGGCATCCGGCGTCACGGGGCCTGCGATGAGTACACGCCGCGCAGCTACTTCGACACCGACAGTCAGGATCCAGTTGCTGCCCCGCCCCACGCCCGCACCTTGAAGAAGGCTGGCTGCCAGCTCCCACTGACTTGCCTGCGACGGAGGCGACAACACCATCCAGCATTTGTTGCGCCTACATTCTGATTGCAGAAAAGAGCCTTTGCCAGAAGAAGCTGAATCCACGTGTGCAAAGGGCATCTTTCATTGGCGAAACTCCCTTGTTCTTACTTGAGATGGAAACCCTGAACAAAACACGGCCGGCAGACTTGCAATTGCGGCTGCTTCAAAAAGCTTCCCCTCCTCGCCTTCTCGCAGGCACTGCAGGCACTGTTCAGTGCTACCGCTGATGTAGACAGCTGCCTGCCCAGAGCTTCCTGCGCTTCAACTGTCCAAATGCAAAGCTCAGACCAAAACACTGAACCTGCAACAGGGGCCTACTTTCTAGAAAGCCTCCAGAAACCCGGGGAAAACCGCTGGTATTCGAAAGAACGATGGGTGGAAAGACTGGGAAAACAACCCCTAGAAATCCCGACCATTCCGCCGAAAACAGCAATACGCTCTTGCGCTTCTCTCGCAGAGCCACCTGCAACAGCGCAACAGCCTGCCACCAGCGACTGGAGGTCTCGAATGCACCTGCAGCGAACATGGCCACACAACTTGTTTTCCCACTGCATCCCCAAAACATGTAAGCACAAGGCGTTGAATCGAGGTACACGCCAAAGCGCAACCGATACCGGTAGCATCTGGCCAGCTGCTACGAAATGCATGTAAAAAACTCAATGACGTCCAAAAAGAGGAAAGTGTGTCCAACAGTAGCTGCCTATTTTGAGCAGCGCGCAAGGGTGCAGGGCTTGCTCTTGAGGCGCCAATCTGTCTGCACGTGCATGCTCCTACAGGGTAACTTAACCTCGGATCCGTGGATCGACTTAAGCGGGACAACAAACCTGCACAGGAACAAAGAATATGCCACGCATTAGTTCTGGACAACATTTCCTTGACCCTTGCATCTCTGTGCATGGAATCCTGGCAAGACCTGCGCAAAGCCACCCACGAAGAGCCAATACGTGGCAAACCGGGTGTCAACGCATGCAACGGTGTTTCCAAAAGGCGTCCCTTTGCCAAAAAGGGTGCACGCATACGCATGGGCACCAGGATCGCTGATCCCTTGGAAGGTGAGAGCCTACTGGTTACCTAGTGGACCTCGTTAGCTGAGGCGCTGAGCAGCGCGTGACACAGCTCCGCCGAGGATGGAACCGGCGCCAGAGCCAGGGCGTGCCGCCAGCGCTGCGCGTCGGTCAGAGCTGTCACAGCACAGCTCAGGGCCCTCAGGGCAACGAAGCAGCTTGGGGAACAAAGATTTAGGGATCTCGCTGAAATTGCTCCCCATGAGCTACGTTTCCCTCCGAAAGCGCCGGTGAAAATGAAACAAATCATTAATACAGACAGACAGACAGACAGACAAACAGACATACATACATTGCATTCCGATACATCACAGTGCATTACATTTCATTACATTGCATTACATTTCACTACATTGCATTACATTGCCTTGCATACATACAATACATACATTACATTACATTACATTACATTACATTCATGCATGCATGCATACATGCGTATATGTGTACTTGTATACATGCGTACATACATACATACATACAATCATACATACATTGCCTGCATACCTACATACCTACATACCTTACATTTCCTTACATTACATTACATTACATTACATTGCATTGCATTAGAATAGAAAAGATTACACTACATTACATTCATACATACATCACATCACATCACATCACATCACATCTCATCACAATCGCATCGCATCGCATCACATGCATGCATACAAACATACATACAAACACACATACATTGCATACATACACACACATATATACATACATACATACATACATACATGCATGCATACATGCATACATGAATACATACACTACATTACATTACATTACATTACATTACATTACATTACATTACATTACATTACATTACATTGCATACTTACATTACATGCATACAAGTATAAACACATACATACATACATAGCACAACAAAACATAACATAACATAACATAACATAACATAGCATAGCATAACATACATACATACATACATACATACATACATACATTACATACATACATACATACATACATACATACTTACATTACATACATACATACATACATACATACATACATACATACATACATACATACATACATACATACATACATACATTACATGTATACACACATACGTACATAGATAGCACAACATAACATAACAAAACATAACATATATACATACATACATGCATACATAGATACATACATACGTACACACACACACATACATACATTACATTACATACATTACATACATTACATACACTACATACATTACATATATAACATACATACACATACATAACATACATAACATACATAACATACATAACATACATAACATACATAACATACATAACATACATAACATTACATCACATCACATCACATCACATCACAGTACATTACATAATTACATTACATACATACATACATTACATATTACATTACATTACATTACATTACATTACATTACATTACATTACGTACATTACATTACATTACATCATTACATTACACTACATTACATTACATTACATTACATTACATTAATACATACATACATACATACATACATACATACGTACATACATACATACATTACATACATACATACATACATACAAACATACATACATACATACATACATTACATACATACATACATACTTTCATTACATTACATACACACATACATTCATACATACATACATACATTACATGCATACATACATACATACATACATACATTACATTACATTACAATACCATACATACAAACATACATACATACATACATTACATACATGCATACATTACATTACATTACATTACATTACATTACATTACATTACATTACATTACATTACATTACATTACATTACATTACATTACATTACATTACATTACATTACCATACATACAAACACACATACATACATACATACATACATACATACATACATACATATATTACATACATACATACATACATTACATACATACATACATGCATACATACATACATACATAACACACATACATAACATAACATAACATAACATAACATACATACATACATACATTACTTACATACATACATACATACATTACATACATACATTACATTACATTACATTACATTACATTACATTACATTGCATTGCATTGCATTACATTACATTACATTACATTACATTACATTACATTGCATTGCATTGCATTACATTACATTACATTACATACCATACCATACCATACCATACCATACATTACATACATTACATACATTACATACATTAGATACATTACATACATTACATACATTACATACAATACATACATTACATACATTACTTTACATTGCATTGCATTGCATTGCATTACATTACATTACATTACATACCATACCATACATACCATACATTACATACATTACATACATTACATACATTAGATACATTACATTACATTACATTACATTACATTACATTACAGTACAGTACAGTACATTACATTACATTACATTCCATTCACACATACATACATGCATGCATACATACATACATACATTACATACATTACACACATTACATACATTACATACGGTACATACATACATACATACATACATACATACATACATACATACATACATACATTACATACATACATACATTACATTACATACATTACATTACAGTACATTACATTACATACATTACATTACATACATTTCATTACATACATTTCATTACATACAATACATACATACAAACATACATACATACATACATTACATACATTCCATACATACATACATACATACATACATACATACATACATACATACATACATACATTACATACATACATTACATTACATTACATTACATTACATTACATTACATTACATTACATTACATTACATTACATTACATTACATTACCATACATACAAACACACATACATACATACATACATACATTACATACATACATACATACATTACATACATACATACATGCATACATACATACATACATAACACACATACATAACATAACATAACATAACATAACATACATGAATACATACATACATACATTCATACATACATACATACATACATACATACATACATACATACATACATACATACATACATACATACATACATACATACATACATACATACATACATACATACATACA